ATGTGTATTTTCCAAGTTCAAAAAAACTATTGTATAATATGTCAGCAGGTTGAAATGTTTTTCAAAACCCATCTATATCTATCTACCCATCCATCCATCCATCCATGCTACTATTGGCATATTATATGCATATATGCATTGCATATTTTTGCACCGTTGAAGCTGAAGAGCTTGATTTTTTTTGTGGCACTAGCATTACCAAATGACAAAAATAATGTTTCCAAAACACATTTTTTGTCTGCCATTGATCTGACTAACAGATAGTCCCATCCTAACGTCAATGTTGCTTTTCCCTGCTCAGTATATCATAGCTCTGTGTGCTCATTTTGTTTATAAGCAACATAAAATGAAGCCCAATGCAGCTTTATGAGCAGAAACTCCCTTTTCGTCACATTGTCTGATGAGGTTTGTATTCGGTGTCCCTCTTTGGATGCTGTAATTGTTGCATAACATTCTTCACCCCTGGTGACAGAGGGATTGTGGTGGTCACCGGCCACAGCATGTGGTTGGCACGTATCTTGAAACATGCAGGACACACTACAAAACATGCTGTTAGCAGCTGAAAGCAAACGGTGGTTAGTTCATTTGAAGGAACAGAGAGACAGAGAGAGTAAAAGTGAGGGGAAATGGAAAGTGTCTGGCTATTAAAATCCCAGGCTGTATTTGTCAGCAGCATCAGGCTGGTGGGGATTTGAAGAAAGATGGCGGTGTTGAACATTCAGAGCGAGAACAGGAAGTGACACGTGGTCGTATTGCACATGTCAGCGCCAAACTTGCTGACAGGAGTTACAAGACCATCTCACATGGCTTGAGTTCTTTAATAAGGTCAATAAGGTTTTTTGAATGCTTTTTAATACTTTTATTTAGCAAGGATGTATTAAGTTGATCAAAAGTAACAGTAAAGAATTTAGTGTGACAAATATTTTGTAACAATGAAAATAAAATATATACGAAAAATATGAAGCAGCACAACTGTTTTCAACACTGATAATAATCAGAAATGTTTCTTGAGCAGCAAATCAGCATATTAGAATGATTTCTGAAGATCATGTGACACTGAAGACTGCAGTAATGATGCTGAAAATTCAGCTGCGCATCACAGGAATAAATTACATTTTAAAATATATTCAAATAGAAAATATTTATAATAATTCTAAATGTTTCATAATATTGCTATATTTTTGCACAAGAAACTTCTTTTGAATTAATTATTCAAATATTATGGCAACGTTTCTTTTGAATGTTCTCTGAACGTTCTGAAAGTAGCAACATTATAAAACATTGGAAGAACATCTCAAATGTTTCAGGAAAAAAACATTCCATGAACGATGTATGAATAATGTTATTGTGCTAATGTTTTAAGAACAATTATCAAAGACCAGATGAACAAATGTTACATTAACGTTACTGGAAGAATGTTTGTTCATAACTTTGAGAGAACCATGCCAGAATGTTACGTTTGTTTGTATAGTTTGGAACATAGAAGCAAATATTACCATCAAGTACTAATATCTTGATTTATTGTAGGCCTATATCAGCAAGCTCAGCTGAAACAACTTGACTTAAGTCAAGACCGCCTGAAGTGATTAACCAGGAGCACCATTACTGATTTTGGTGATCTTAAATGTTGTGTGATCCTGTTGTGGGATAGCTTTTATTAGTCAGCAAAAATGATATATTGTGAATTACATTTGATGCGTGTGTCGTAGCTTATCAATACTTCTGAAAGCTTAAAAAGAATGTGTCAGTCTAGTGATGGCTAGACTATGGTTTCTCGTCTGAAGGTTTGGCTGTAGAACAGAGCTGTACTCTTGGACCGGGACTCTGGCTTTGTCTTGTATTATGGCTTGAATCCAGTCTAGAACTCCTGGAGCGACGTGCTGGCAGGACGCGAGCTGCAAAACACAGCACTCCCAAAAGTCAGTCCAGGGCAACCTCTTCATCGTTTCCAATCTGTAACATGACGGATCCTAAAATGGATAATTCTAGGTGATTGTTTTATGTTTGTTGTTGTTTTATTTACTTTATGCCATGTTTCATGCGCTCCCAAAGCCACGGAAATTGGACAGTACGCCGATAGAGCTGCAAGAACTGTAATTACTGTTCGTTGGGACTTTATTGCTTTTTAATGAAAGAGCTAAATTTAAGCAGGCATGATCTTGAAATGCGAAGGACGAGCCGTTTCTGTGTGGTGGTTTGTGGGTGGGCGGCCTGGGCGAAAGAGGAGGAGGTGGGCGTTCGTTCATTCTTTGAACATTTCTCCCAAAAAGCCCTGTCATTTGTCGAGAAGGGCGAAGGGGTGATCGCTGCCAAAATTGTAAACTCATTTGTTTGTTGCGTTTCATTTCTTTGCATTCTGAAACACTCAGAAGTTTAACTAGTCTTGATTTAAGCTGTTCCCCACCGGATATGGGTGAGACTAGTTATATTTAGTAGGAATGTTGCCGGTTGTTTTCCAAACCAACATAACGTGATTCCAGATTCCAAATGACTTTAATATCCATGCATGAAAAAGCTGCTTTGATCCTACACTGAATTAATATTTTCCAAGTCTTAATTAATGGAAAACAATGGAGGGAATTGGTATCGTTTTATCGTTATCTCTAGAATCTTGACTGGCTAAAATGTTTGTGGGATCGTTTATCATCTGAACAAGCCAAACCTGCAGTAAAATGTTTTGTGAGTGAATCTCACAAAAAAATGTTCAGGTAACAGTTTACCCAAAAATCCAAAGGAAAAAAAACATTTTAAATTTTGCATATGGACGAATACGAGTTAAAAACAGTGAAAGATCAATATATATGAATAAATAACATTTTTGGGCCCGTTAAGACATTTTTTTGCATTGAAAAAAAATGCATTTAAATGAAAATCAAGCATATTTTCTTTACAAATTATCCATAAGGTATTTAAAAATATTTACCATTACTCTTAATTATTTTCATTACAGCGTTACAATTATTCTTATTTTTTAAGTCAAAAAGCATAAATAATATAATAAATATATTAGTAATATAATTATATGAATATACATTTATTTTTTATTTTTTAAATAATTCAAATAAATTAATGATAAATTCATTCAAATAAATAGTCTTACGTAATGCAAAAGAAATGGAGGGAATTTATTGGTTGATTCATTTCTCTGATCCTAAAATCTGATTGGTTGATAGAAATGTCATGCCAGGCCAAACAAGGTTGATCCGGGAACATGTGCTTCTTTGCATAATCACTTTCATCGTTAGGTTAGACATGTGTAGTGTAGGTATTGAACATTTGCCATAGTCATGTGCTAAAATCAGTGGCAGCACAGATCAGCGTGGGCCAGAATGTCTTGCTTTATTGTGTTTTTATTCATTCATGTTTTATATTCTTCACTTGGGTTTAGAAAACATTTACTTGGAATGTAAAAACCTCTCCACCACAATGTGTAAATCATCAGTGAACTCATGTGATTGGAGGATTGTGGTAAAGGAGGAGGGGCCTGTCGGATGGTGGGCGGGGCTGTGGTTTTGAGTGGCAGTATAAGGAATGGCAGCGTTATGCAGACAGGTACAGTGGGACAGTGAGCAGGCGTCATCATAGTGAGCAGAGCATCCTCAGCCGTTACCAGGGCAACAGTGTACAGTACCACCCTGGGGTAAGTGTGGCTCTCAGTCGGCTCCTGTGTGCATTCTGTTGTCATGACGATGAGATCAAAGCATTATTTATCTTTTCCATATCTGCTGTGGAACTGGCTGATGAAGTGTTATATAGCATTGTTTTATTTTTCATAAAGTTGAAATAAGTTAATATTATATAAAGATTTAGTATATGATTTTTGTATTGTTGTTTTTTGTTAGCAGAAAGCTAATGTCTAACAAATATAACAAACTACCAAATTAGTAGAAAAAAGTCTTATCTTACAGAATCTTGTTTTTAATGTCTTTACACTGTAAGAAGAGTCCATAAAAATAATAATACTATATAATTTTTTTATAATATAGTAATTTTTAATAAGTAATTTCCCATATCGATTTTTCCGTTTTTTTTTTTTACTAATATTTTGAATTATGCATTGCATTGTGTTTTAGGGTAAAAGGAAATGTCTGTAAATTCATTCAATTACAAATTACCAGTACCTTTTCCTTTTTTTCCTACAGATTTTTTTCTTAGTTTAGATTTGTATTTATTTATTTATTGTTTTTTTACTTAACTTTAAGATTTTATATAATGTTCATTAAGTAGTTCTTATGATGTCTTCAAAACTAAATAAAATGAGTAAAAATTGTTCATTCAGAGCTTAGCAAAATTCTCTGAAATCTTGTGTGTACAATTATTTTAGAGAAAAAAAAGAAAAATTGTTGTCATTTCAAATGAATGTGGAGAGCAGCTCAGATTATTTGGTCTTGAGTTCATATTAACTCTGTGATTTTTAATTTGCACACTGAAGCACATTTTGCGACCTTGATCCGATCTCATTTTAAACACTTTTTAAACTAGATGGGGGACATGTGAGTTTACCAATCATTTTCTTCGACATCAGATCTGAGAAGCAAGTGACTCCAGCTAAAGTCTGATCTCCAGTGAATCTCATGTATTTGAGAAGAGGGTCTGAGAATCTCATGGTCTGGTGTAGATCTTGATGTTTGTATGAGAGCAGTAGTTCAACAGTGACGATATACTCCACTATTTTCTCATCAGAGAAGCATTTCTCTCTCTTGCTCCAGTAGATCCAGTAAGTGGTTTCTGGCCTGACTGGGCATATTTGGTCTAAAAATAGGCCAAGAAAAGCAGTTCTGCCCCAAACCACAGGCCTGCTTTAGTTCAACTGGTTATTTATGTCACGCTTTAGCATATAGATCACTTCTGTACACATACAAACCCAGTGTGTCCATCAGAGGAGAGTCGAAGTGCTGTTTACCTGTCTCTGGCACGGTGAGGTTTTGGTGGTTTCTGCTGATGCTGATGATGTTATATTTGCTGCATGTGTCATTGAGTTCCTGCCGTGTCTTTTTCAGATTACATGAGTATAGAAGAATATTTTGAAGAAGATGAAGAACCACCTTTACTGCTCAGCTCCTGTCTGTCTGATCGTAAGTTTCAGACTCTTCATTAAAGAGTGTGTGTGGGTGTGTGAACCTGTGATTACTGCGGTGTGCTGAAGTCATCAGTAATTAATGAGGGATATTACAGTGAGGTTTCTCTCAGAACACCGTGTCTCTTCTCACACTTCTCCGAATGTTCTTCACTTCACTGAGAACCTGCAATGTAGTCAATGAAGAAACATCTCATTCTGTACTACAGTATACCACAGTTAGGCAAGACACTACAGGCAAACACGTTGTTTTTCATGCACTGGACAATTTTGAAATATTGGGCTTTATTTTGCTTGCATAACTTGTCTACTTTCAGGCTAGTGGCAAGAAACATCCAAAATACATATTTTATTACACTTTATCTATTTGCATCTGTAGATTTCGATTAAAATACAAATTTTAAAGTCTCAAAATTATTTTTTTTGCTCATGCAATGAGCCAGAAATCCCTAACAGCACTTACATACACCGGATTTTACAGTTTTATTACTACACTGAAAACAGTTTGGTGTAGAAACAAATTTCACTCATAAATGTCACAATTACAAACAGCAAGTAACACATTGAATTAAATATGACATTTTTAAGTTGAAAACTTAAAAAGTATTTTTTGCAAAACACTCAATCTAAACACAAACACTAAGGCCTGGTTTCACAGACAGGGCTTAGACTAAACCAGGATTAGGCCATAGTTCAATTAGGACATTTAAGTAATTTTTCATAAACATACCTTAGAAAACACATTACTGTACAAGTGCAAGTTTCTTTCAGTTGACACAGTTCAGAAACCGGGGGGTAAATCTGTTTTATTAACAACTTAACAAAAAAAATACAGTATATCTATATTCTGAAGGTTTTTACAGAGGGGTTTGTTCATATATCATTTTGACTGATTAAAAAAACTTTGCAATTATTATTATTATTTTTTTCCAAAAAAAAAAATTCTGTCAGTTTGACTATTTTCTGATTTATTACATGATAAAAAGGAATATCCAAATAAAACATCCAAAAATATGTAATGAAAATGAAAAATTTATATTGGATCTGGCTTTATACATTTGGAAATGTATGCAAATTAGTGCATATTTAACTAGACAGACAATACCTTTTTTCTGAATATTTAAACATAGCATTTCAGAAAACATGCTATACAAAACAGATGTCTTAATGTATTGTGATTAATCAACTGGGGAATATATGGTGATATCTATTAGTGAAAACTTTTACCCTATTCACCTGCCTTAAACTACACTTTACTATCCTGTGTTTTACCCACTGTATTATCCTAATATTTATACAGCAGTTTTTTTAGTTTGATTCTCACAGGCAGGTGTGCTTGTGTGTTTTTAACGCTGGCTGGTGTCGTGTGTGTCTGTAGCTGCTGGAGTTATGGGGGACTTTAGCGGCGCAGTGTCGGTGGGAGGACGGGTGTGTGTGTCCGCTCTGTCCAGCCGGACAGGAGCCCACCACGGTGAGCGATAACACCACCACAACACACTCCACAAAACATGTGCCTGGTCCAGTATGTCCTACATTATGATCTCTGTCCAGATAATTCACTCCACTTTAGGTATATATCAGAAAAAAACAACATATTTTGTAAAAATGTATCATATGATTGCATTTATGCACATTCAAGATTTCGATGGGTTTTTTTTTATCATCTAAACAAGCCAAACCTAAAAAGTTTTGTGAGTATATCTCATGAAAACATGTCCAGGGAGAAAGACAATTAAATCCATTTTTAGGCCCATTGAGATTTTTTATTTTTTTTTTGCATTGTGACATTATTTCCGTTACATTTTCATTTTATGTTTTATTTTTTAGTATTTATTTTTAAACCATTGTTCTTAAGAGTAAAGCTTCTTAGATTGATACAGTTCTTTTTTGTCATTTGTATTCTTATTTTTAGTAATGTATTTATAAAACACATTTCAGTGCAGAAATTGATACCATGCTATGAGAGACGTAACAGTTTGTTCTTTGTGTGTCATCTTAGTGGTGTGTATTTGTTTCTTTAAGGCTTGCGGGGAAGTTGAGGGTCCTGGTGAGACCGGATTGTGCCGGACTTGCCCAGCAGGCACCTTCTCTGATACCCCTGACACTGAGCCGTGCCGCCCACATCTCTCCTGCAGGACACTGAACCGCTGGATCTCGACCGCATCGACCTCGCATTCTGACGCCGTGTGTGGAGGATGTCTTCCTGGGTAAAGAACAAAAAATATTTAGTTATTGTCTTCATCATTGCATCACTTTGGTATCAGAGCAGATGTGTTTTCCTAGTCTCACAAACTTTCCAAGACTGAATGAAATGGAAAGCGTAGAGGGGGCGTATTTATGAACTGACATGTTTTTCAGGTTTCACCCTGCTGCTACGTGGAAGTCCTCCACCCTCCACGCCTGTGTCAGGAGTAAGCGTTTAGCATTTTATACATCAGTGTTGAGTGAACGTTACACAGCAAACCTGGAAATTGAGGGCCGCACCTATCTGTTCAGTTTACTCTTCATAAACAATAAAGTACATAGAAGAAAAACATCTATAAATATTTGAATTTAATAGTATTAACATAAGAATAAACAATTCTTCTGCAAGAAAACAAGGTAGAAACTTATTCCAATATATTGGCTTTTTCACAATAACTTCAAATGCGACTCATCCAACAGTCAGAATTTAAACGTTTGTTGTTATTTTTTAAATATTCACTATTATTCTTAATGGTAAATCTTATTAGATTCTCATTACTGTAATGAAGTTATTCTTATTTTTAAACAGCATAAATTATATAAAACCTTACATTTAGAAATATATTATATATAGGAAGAGTGTGAATGCGCTATATGTGGAGAATAATGCACGGCAATCATTCAGCTAATTTTTTTTATCTTGTTTATCGGTTTTTGCAAAGGAACTCCACACATATATATAATGGAACAACCATTTTAAAAAGTGAATTTTCACTATTATTTACAACAGGATCTGCATTTTCATTAGTTCATTAGAGACAATAAAAATAACTTTGCACATCAAAAACAGCTCCTTTACTGGTAAAAAAAAATGAACTGAATGTAACATTTTTGACAAGCCAAACATATGAATCTCTGAGTAACATGGTTTTTATTTATGCCATAAAATGAATTTCATTCTGTAAAATTATTATAATTATCTACGCAAAAAGCATTTCAAATGTCTCCAGTAGGGGTGTGCGATATTGACAAAAAATTATATCTCGATATTTTATGGGATTTTATCGATAACAATAATTAGACGATATTTTGCTGAGTGTGTTATTGTGCTGGTACCTTAAGGACAACCGTGGACAGCTGACTCATAATGTTTTTAATATTCTTCATATTCTGTGTGGTGGTAAGTTCATATGGATAGAAATTAATATTTTCCAATAAGTTTAAACTGATTTTTGCATTTTATGGGCATTTTTACCTTTATAAAGCCATTTTTTCTAAAAGTGTTCCATTATCTTTTGAGTCAAATTCTTACATTTAATCAGGGAATTAGAATAATAAGACATTTGGGCTGTTACCAAGCAAATTAAATCAACACAGAAGCTGCATCTGAAGTGGCATTTAGATGTATTTACACACATGTATTTTGTTTAATGCAAGACATGAATGCATTTAACCTGCAATTAAAAATGCATAAATAATGTTTTGATATATTAAACATAAAACGTTGAATACTGATATTTGAAATGATTTAAAACATGAAAAAAATATCAAAAAGAAAAGAAAGAAAAAGCCGAAATTTGAAATGAAAACCGCCAGTAGGTGGCAGCAAATCACTGTTAATAAGTGAGTCATTGCAATTGAACCGAATCATTTAAACGGTTGATTCATTCAGGAACGAAACACCGTCATGTTGCTCAGAGACACAAAACAGCACTGTGGCTGTATTCGGAATGATTGTTGTTGGCGAAATAGAGCAAAAACAGGCAATATGGTGTCTAAAACGTAAGTCTCTTAATTAACTTGTTGTTTATTGAATTCAATGTCACATTTTAAATCATGGTAATTTTCGTAGAAAAACGGCACTCTTCGTGTGAAATTGAATAACTATACGAAGTGGTATAAATATATAAATTTTCATGTCTTGAATTTGTGATCATTCTAAATGCATTTTAATAGACTGAATCATGCAGTGAAAGAAAACACACTAAATGCAGTGTACAGGAGTTTTTTTTTTCTTTTTTCTTTCCCCACATTGAATGTATAAAAGGCTCATATTTCATATTAAAGACATGGACTCCATTTTTGATTTTACATACCTCCTGATAAAAAATAAGAAATTTCTTTCAAAGATTAGTATCATATGATGTACAGCTACAGGCCTGTATGTTAACAAGTAATCCTGTTTTCTGTAAAACAATAGTTCTCTGTAAAATAAAATTAGTATTGTTATTATCTTATCGTCTTATCCATTATTATATTGTTTTTTAAAAATCGCAATTTTAACCAGAAAAATCGCAATTAGATTTTTTCCCCAAATCGTGCAGCCCTAGTTAAAACTCACTCCACCCAAGTTTGATTTCCAATATTAACCCAGTGGCCCAATTGTTAGACTAAAACCCCTTCTCCTAAGAGTGAAACTAAATAAATTCACTGAACAAAATAAGAACAGAATGTTTTCTTCTCCTTTGTGTGCATGTGTATCAGTGGGTGGAGCCACAGCTGTTGTGATGAGCTCAGTGTTTTATCTACGGTAGCACTAGCATATGATGGTTCAGGTTCTGCCTGTAAAGCGGGTACATCTCCAGGAACAGAGTAAATGGCACCTTAATTACAGCATGTTTTGCAGCTGAATAAGCAGAGCAGCCGAGCTGGAGTTGGGTTTTGTTCAGGATGTCAGGCAGCATAATTGTTTGTGTTAAATAGAAAAAGAGTAGAAAAAGGAAGTTAATCATGTAAGCCACAAGAGGCTGTGCATGATGGTAAAAGGAGTAGTTCACCTAAAAATTTTAATTTTCTGAAAGTGTGCTCACCCTCAGGCCATCCAAGATGTAGATGAGTTTGTTTCTTCATCAGATTTTGGAGAAATGATCTGAATGGGTGCCGTCAGAATGAGAGTCCAAACAGCTGATAAAACATCACAATAATCCACACCACTCCAGTCCATCAATTAACATCTTGTCAAGTGAAAAGGTGCATCTTTGTAAGAAACAAAGCCATCATTAAGCCATTTTAAGTCCTCTATCCATAATAATGTTTTTTCCAGTGAAAAAGTAATCTGTTCTGAATCAGGAGAGAAATATGCACAGATCAAGAACTGTTTACAAGTCAAAACATATCTATCTACGTCTTAATGGACTTGTTTCTTAAAAACACGCAGCTTCTGGCTTCACAAGATGATAACTGATGGACTGGAGTGGTGTGGATTACTTGTGGATTATTGTGATGTTTTAATCAGTTTTTTGGACTCTCATTCTGACGGCACCCGTTCACTGCAGAGGGTCAGTTGGTGAGCAAGTGATGGAATGCTACATTTCTCCAAATCTGATGAAGAAACAAACTCTTGGATGTCCTGAGGGTGAGAATATTTTCAGCCAATTTAAAATTTGGGGTGAAGTGTTCCTTTAAAGGGGTCATATGATGCTATTTTAAAGATCATTATTTTGTGTATTTGGTGTAACAGAATATGTTGACATGCTTTAATGTTCAAAAACACATTATTTTTCAAATACTGTACATTATTGTAGGTCCTCTATGCCCCGCCTCTCTCAAACGCGTCGTTTTCAACAAAGCCCCCTCCTTTGACAAGCGCAGTCTGCTCTGATTGGCCAGCTGACCCAGTGCATTGTGATTGGCCGAACACCACAAGCACGCGTCGGAAATGTAACGCACCTTACCATAATCGCGAGCTTCAAGCTTTCAAAGTAAATATCAAGACAGTTAATAATGTCGTTAGTTTTACCATCAGTTCAAGCCCGAAAGGGCAACAGAGTCACGTGACAGACACAGTGATGATGCAGTACACAAGCCGCGGTTAAGACAGCTGACGTGCTATGATTTCTGACAGACCGTTCACTCTCCTGTGATGTGACCCTGTTCCCCTCACACACACACACACACACAACGCATTATTCTGCGCTGCGCAAAACTCCGCATTTGAACAGTCAATAGTTTCAAATACTTAAACTAATAACAAAGCATACTTACAGTCGCTGATTCAAGGCCAAATAAACTGCTTTTGCTTTCGCCTAGAAACACACAGCGTCTCCCTGACATGCTGCTTCAACACTACTGCTGTTCTTGAAACCATGCCTTCTTTCTTTGCGTGCACATTTGGGCGGCATTATGCTAATATTTCCACATAGTGAGGTAGATATGTGGGGGCGTGTTAGAACGAGCTGTTTTAGGTAGGCGTGGCTGACTCTTAACTTTTATAAAGAGAATCTCTTTGGATTTGAGACTTTAGTCTTTGCAACTTTACAGATCTTCTTTATGCACCAAGAGCTCGTAACACTCCAAAGAGAAAGTAAAACTTGAAATCGCATCATACGACCCCTTTAAAGCTATAAGTGAATGTGATTTTTATGTTTCTGATTTTTATGTTTCTTTGCATGTGCAAAGCTTGTGCAGTGCCTCAAAGTTGTCAGGGAGTTGCTATGTGATTGCTAAAGCGTTCTCTGTTTTCCTCATCTATCTTTGAGCAGCACAACACTCCCACTGTATCTCCTTTCTTTAGATCAATAATTCAGTCGGTTCTGAGCTTGTAGATCTTCTCTAACTGCCATCACCCTACTGTTGACTAGTTCTAACATGGTCAGTGTGAGTTACATCAGATTCACATCGACCTAGACACACTTAAACTACTAAAAACTGCAAGACCGCCAGGCGAAACCTCTATTTGAAGTGTTCCTACATACATAGAAGAAGAAAATAGCCTATTGGGTGCACTATTATGCACCGTTTATGTAAGAAGTCTAGGAAACAATGCATATTGAAAACATCACAAGATAGCCATTAGGTGTTTAATAATGAACGTCTTGGCTCGAGTGGAGTGAAAGCTTGTGTTGTATAAGTCTGGGTCGGATCCAGCAGGCATCCAGATGAAAGAGGATGATGAGTCTCTGGGGTGTAATGGGGTCGAAATCATTTAACGAAGTAACAACGTTTGCAGTCAAAATGCAGCGTTTCATTCGCTCTTGTTACGTCAGTGTTCCCTGTCGATTTCTGATAGTGCAGTACTGAATTAAATGTCTTTTCTTGGCACTTTTGTTGGAGCTGGAATGATTGTATAAGCACTTTTCTTTCAAGCACTCAAGAGCAATTCTACCTTGACCAGTATTTCATTGCTTCAGAGTCTAACAGTAATCTGATATATAGCCATTGCACATTTCAGCTGTTAGATGAATCCGCATAGATGTCCGAGCATTTTCGATTTTCAGCTGTATTTTGTAAGAGAGGTCTGGTGCAGTATGCAATATTAGATGATTCAGGTATTGCATCAGTATGATGTTTGTACAGTATTTTTGCCATTGGCCACACCTGCTATTCTGAGATAAAACCGTAAAGGTGTCAAAGATGCATTTCCCAGCAGCCTCCTGTCACTGCAGAGAAAGTTCAAGCACAATAGGTGTACCAGTACAATAATGACAGAGCTAAAAAGAGCCTTTTTATGGCTCACAGCAAGTCTGAAATTAGATTGAAGCCATTGGATTAGATTGTTCTGCAATACATTGCATCAAGTTTAGCGGGTAATTTTATTGTAGATAGACAAACAAACAAACATAGAATAACCTCACTATATCATCCGAAGCTAGAAAGTACAAAAATGTTGCTTTGGTTATTTTATAGCAGCAAAATAATATTTTACAAACAAAAACATGATTTAAATTAGTAGGCTATAAACTTGATGTAATGGTCAGAATTTGTACTGTATATAACAACATTTATGGTAGAATGTACATGTACACTACCATTTTAAATTAAATTAATACTTTGATCAAAAGTGACATAAAATACATTTGTTACAAAATATTTCTATTTCAAATAAATGCAGTTCTTTTGAACCACATATTAAGTATTCTGAAAAATAAAATGTATTTACAAAAATATGAAGCAGCACAACTGTTTTCAACATTAACAATAATAATAAATGTTTCTTGAGCAGCAAATCAGCATATTAGAATGATTTCTGAAGGATCATGTGACACTGAAGACTGGAGGAATGATGCTGAAAATACAGCTGCGCATCACAAGAATAAAATACATTTGACAATATATTCAAATAGAAAACAGATATTTAAAATTGTAGTAATATTCACAATTGTACTGTTTTTATTTTTAATCAAATAAATACAGCCTTAATTGGTGAGCAGAAGAGACTTCATTCAAAAACACTAGAAAATGCGAATAAACAAATAAAAATAAAGTGTATTTTCTAGCCAGTTTGTGATCAGGTTTAAGCAGCAGGTGTTTTTAGTGGATGGATGAAGTCGGTTCACACAGGTGTCCTAGAGAAAGAGAGAAACCACAAATCAACATTATCCTCCAACACCAAACAAACAGTCACAGGTTTTCAACACTAGATCATTCGAGACTTACAAACTTCTTTTTGCCAAATGTTTTGCTTGAAAACACTCGTTCTTTACAATAAATAACACTTGACAAACATAATTAGCATTTTAAGTGTCCGAACACTTCAGCAGGTGCATGACTATGATTCGAACAGAGTGTCTCTGGTTGATCAGAATAATAAAGCAGCGCTGCAGTGCTGAGTGAGCTGTTCTCTACAGTACTTCCCCAGCTGCCTCACTGGGATATAGTTACCATAGAGACACTGATAACTACACACTGAGCCTTCTGTATGCTATAGATTCACAAATGCATCACAATAGAGACTGTCAGAGTTTAGCAGTGGCGTGACGACATTTTTGGTGTGTTCTGAATCCGTCTGCCTGTGGTGATTAATGGTGAATTGGCGTGTTTTTAACTCTAATGAGGACGGAGTGCAGCGGTTTCCCTGTGCTGTTAAACTCTTTTAAAAATAGTATTTGATGGGGATGACATCCCGACAATACAAACACACACCCACAGAGAAGTTTTAAATACTGCTGGAGCTTCAAAATAATATTTGTTCACTGTGAAGCTCACAAAACCGGTCAAAAACATGTATGTGTCACCCATATCATTTTTAGTACTTTAAGCTCATTTCCCCTCAAATTGTCAACACTGTGAAGCAGTGCTGTTTTAGAATTATTTATATACTATTATAGCATTTTTAATTAGCTTTCATAGTTTTAGTTTTCAATTTTTTATTTAATTTTAAGTGATTTTGTTATGTGCAAATTGTAATTTTTATTCATTTTTATTTAAATATTTCTATTTAGCTTTCATTCATTTGTATTTATTCACCTTTTTAATTATTGTTATGTATTTAATTATTTATTTAAGTTGGTTGGCAAGGCCAAAAAAAAGTTATTCTCATGTAGGTTTTTCATCTAATATTTATAGAATATTATCTAATTTCAGCTCTATTTCAATTACAGAAAATTATTTTAATAGTTTTAGCTTTAGTTGACAATAATAACACTGTTTTGAAGTTTGAGAAAAAAAACATTTAAATTGTAAAATCTTTATACAGTATTTGTTGTACTAAACTGTACTAAATTAAAGTGTAATTTTAATAAAAACTTTTTTTTAAATCTTGTTTGAACTAGATGGTTTTACTTACTATATAACAGTTATCAGGTGGAAAAATGCAAAAAAACATTTTTTAAATAAATTAAATAAATAAAAAATAATTTTTAAATGCAAAAAAATATATATATATACATTTCATTTACCCAAATTAAAATGTGTTAATTATATAAGAGCAAATAAAATATAAACACTTTAAAATATAGCAAAAAGTGTACAGACTTAAAAACGGTTATGCTTTTGTCCTCAGGAAACCCTTGTCCCTACATTGTTGATGACCCCAATGAAGACACCATCAGCATTCTGGTGCGGCTCATCACAGAGAAGAAAGGTGTGTGATGTTTCTTGACACGTTTAACTCACCCTCACATCACACTGTGAGATCAGAGTCTCATTGCATCTCGATGTGTTTGTGTGTTACAGAAAATGCGGCTGCTCTGGAAGAACTTCTGCTGGAATATGAGAATAAACAGATGGCCCTCAACAAGAGCTCATCCATCAAGTAAGAACACACACAAACCTACTCAAAATCACTTTTGAAAACTCACACACAGCACACAGAGTCCAAAATTAACTTTGAACTGAGAAAATGCATTGTCCATAAATATTTCTTAATGGCCATGCAACTATATTTTGTCATTTTTATTACACAGTATATTTTTGTCCTTAAAACGATGGGATTTTTATGATGTTTTTTCCTTGCACAATAGTGACACACAGTGCAGGTCATTATGTCAACACAGCATCATAAATGAGTCAGTCTGTGTCTATCTGTGAAACTGAAACTGTAACAGAAACATAAAGAACCGTTGTGGTTTCGTTCCTAGTGTCTTTGTGAGAAATATTCCATGTACAGTATGTGTCACCACAGGGAGGTCTGGAGAAGAATAAGCTCTAAGCATCCTAGATAAACTACTGATGGTAAGACTTGTGAGTCACAGCTAATGTAAGACAAGTAAATGTCTTAAAAAGTTCTTACAATTCTATTTAAACCATGTATGTTGCAGTTCTTAAGAAAGTTACAATTTATATTCACATTCCCCGACTAGTTAGAGAGTGACTTTGTTAATGCTTGTCAATCTATCTTATTTGCTCGAATGCTATCTTCAATATTCCCATTATGAATAATAATAAGCAAGTGACTAGCAAAGCATGTAATTTATGAGATTATAGGTTTAATGTTGTCTTATGAGATAATTGCAAGTTTTAAAGTGTGAAATGTACATTTTACACATAAGACTGAATAATGAAATTAATATTTTTATTCAGCAAGGATGCATTAAATTGATCAAAATTGCACAGCTCTCTTCAACATAAGAAATGTTTCTTGAGCAGCAAATCAGCATATTAGAATGATTTCTGAAGGATCACGTGACACTGGAGACTGGGGTAATGATGCTGAAAATTCAGCTGCGCGTCACAGAAATAAATAACATTTTAACATTTATTTAGAAAAAAACATGTATTTTAAATTGTAATAATATTTCATAAAATCAAAGTTTTTACTGTATGTTTGATCAAGTAAATGCAGCCTTAGTGAGCAGAAGAGACTTCTTTCAAAAACATAAAAAAAACTCCATTCTTTTGAATGTTAGTGTATGATTGAAGATAGTCAGTTCATGCTTGAATCGTTGCGTGACTCATCTCCAGCCTTATGAAATGAATTGAGCTCTGAGAGGAATTCCCAGTTGTGAAACAGAAAGCAGTTTTCCATTAGCTGAGATAAAGATGCAGCTTATTCTTGTAAACTCCTTAATGAAAAATCAATGTACTGTTAGAAGAGCTGAGGAAGAGGTCGTGTCTGTGTTAATGAGTTTGTACCTGGTTTGCAGTGCTGACAAGCCTACAAATCATCAAGAAGGAAGTGCTTGTTCATTTTCCAACTGAAACATCACCACAGTGAGGTCAAGGCCCCTTAAAAAGCATAGAGGGAGCTTTCTATTTTTTTTTCTTTTCTTCTTCTTCGAAAATGGACTTGTTTTGGTCATTATTGTACATTTATGTGCATATTTATTGACTGTTTTCCCGTGCATCCAATCAGATTTCAGAGTCATAATTATGCATTTTATAATGTCAAACACATCATAACAGTCAGAGACAGAGCCTGATTCATCTCTTTGAAATCACAGTTGTACAGTGACTTCTGGGAAATTTACTGGCACAGATCCGGAGATCCGGTGTGCTGCCATCATCAGTGCCTGCTGAAATAACAGCTCAGTTCAAGAGATCCTTTAATTCCAGACCCTTTTCTGCAGGCGGAGAGCGCTGCGTTATACAGCTGCCGCGAGCTCAGGGCCTCTGACATCATCACAATGGAACTATGGGAGGGGGCGGGTGGATATCAGGACTCCATGAATGGATTGTGGTTTATGTGCTCTCAGTGTGTTTAGAGAAGACCTGAATATCCTTCAAGACTTATTTTAAGAACTATCTGCGCATGCCTGTTTCGGTACGCCAAGAATCAAGCTTCATTGGTATACCAAAGCATTAATTAAACGCTGGATTTTTGTAGTGCTGATGGCAAAGCATTGTTATCTGGTTGCTAATGTGTTGTGAGTAGTTTAGGGTGCTGCTATGTGGTTTCTAAGGTGTTCTGTGTAGTTTAGGGTGTTGCTGTCTGGATGCTAAGGTGTTGTGAGTAGTTTAGGGTGTTGCTATGTGGTTTCTAAGGTGTTTTGTGTAGTTTAGGGTGTAGCTATGTAGTTTCTAAGGTGTTGTGTGTAGTTTAGAGTGTTGCTGTCTGGATGCTAAGGTGTTGTGAGTAGTTTAGGGTGTTGCCATGTGGTTTCTAAGGTGTTCTGTGTAGATTCGGGGGTTGCTGTCTGGTTGCTAAGGTGTTGTGAGTAGTTTAGGGTGTTGCTATGTGGTTTCTAAGGTGTTTTGTGTAGTTTAGGGTGTTGCTATGGGGTTTCTAAGGTGTTGTGTGTAGTTTAGAGTGTTGCTGTCTGGTTGCTAAGGTGTTGTGAGTAGTTTAGGGTGTGGCTATGTGGTTTCTAAGGTGCTCAGTGTAGTTTCGTGTGTTGCTGTCTGGATGCTAAGGTGTTTTGAGTAGTTTAGGGTGTTGCTATGTGGTTTCTAAGATGTTATGTGTAGTTTAGGGTGTTGCTGTCTGGTTTCTAAGGTGTTGTGTGTAGTTTAGAGTGTTGCTGTCTGGTTGCTAAGGTGTTGTGAGTAGTTTAGGGTGTAGCTATGTAGTTTCTAAGGTGCTCAGTGTAGTTTAGTGTGTTGCTGTCTGGATGCTAAGGTGTTTTGAGTAGTTTATGGTGTTGCTATGTGGTTTCTAAGGTGTTCTGTGTAGTTTAGGGTGTTGCTGTCTGGTTGCTAAGGTGTTGTGAGTAGTTTAAGGTGCTACTGTGTTGTTTCTAAGGTGTTCTGTGTAGTTTAGGGCATTGCTGTGTGGTTACTAAGGTGTTCTGAGTCGTTTAGGGTGTTGCTGTGTGGTTTCTAAGGTGTTCTGTGTAGTTTAAGGTGTTGCGATCTGGTTTCTAAGGTGTTCTGAGTAGTTTAGGGCATTGCTGTCTGGTTGCTAATGTGTTCTGAGTTGTTTAGGTCTTTGCTGTGTGGTTTCTAAGGTGTTCTGTGTAGTTTAGGGTGTTGCTGTGTAGTTTCTAAGGTGTTCTGTGTAGTTTAGGGTGTTGCTGTGTGGTTTCTAAGGTGTTCTGTGTAGTTTAGGGTGTTGCTGTGTAGTTTCTAAGGTGTTCTGTGTAGTTTAGGGTGTTGCTGTCTGGTTGCTAAGGTGTTGTGAGTAGTTTAGGGTGTTGCTATGTGGTTTCTAAGGTGTTTTGTGTAGTTTAGGGTGTTGCTATGGGGTTTCTAAGGTGTTGTGTGTAGTTTAGAGTGTTGCTGTCTGGTTGCTAAGGTGTTGTGAGTAGTTTAGGGTGTTGCTATGTGGTTTCTAAGGTGTTTTGTGTAGTTTAGGGTGTTGCTATGGGGTTTCTAAGGTGTTGTGTGTAGTTTAGAGTGTTGCTGTCTGGTTGCTAAGGTGTTGTGAGTAGTTTAGGGTGTTGCTATGTGGTTTCTAAGGTGTTTTGTGTAGTTTAGGGCGTTGCTATGGGGTTTCTAAGGTGTTGTGTGTAGTTTAGAGTGTTGCTGTCTGGTTGCTAAGGTGTTGTGAGTAGTTTAGGGTGTGGCTATGTGGTTTCTAAGGTGCTCAGTGTAGTTTCGTGTGTTGCTGTCTGGATGCTAAGGTGTTTTGAGTAGTTTAGGGTGTTGCTATGTGGTTTCTAAGATGTTATGTGTAGTTTAGGGTGTTGCTGTCTGGTTTCTAAGGTGTTGTGTGTAGTTTAGAGTGTTGCTGTCTGGTTGCTAAGGTGTTGTGAGTAGTTTAGGGTGTAGCTATGTAGTTTCTAAGGTGCTCAGTGTAGTTTAGTGTGTTGCTGTCTGGATGCTAAGGTGTTTTGAGTAGTTTATGGTGTTGCTATGTGGTTTCTAAGGTGTTCTGTGTAGTTTAGGGTGTTGCTGTCTGGTTGCTAAGGTGTTGTGAGTAGTTTAAGGTGCTACTGTGTTGTTTCTAAGGTGTTCTGTGTAGTTTAGGGCATTGCTGTGTGGTTACTAAGGTGTTCTGAGTCGTTTAGGGTGTTGCTGTGTGGTTTCTAAGGTGTTCTGTGTAGTTTAAGGTGTTGCGATCTGGTTTCTAAGGTGTTCTGAGTAGTTTAGGGCATTGCTGTCTGGTTGCTAATGTGTTCTGAGTTGTTTAGGTCTTTGCTGTGTGGTTTCTAAGGTGTTCTGTGTAGTTTAGGGTGTTGCTGTGTAGTTTCTAAGGTGTTCTGTGTAGTTTAGGGTGTTGCTGTGTGGTTTCTAAGGTGTTCTGAGTTGTTTAGGTCGTTGCTATGTGGTTGCCAGGGTGTCATGTCATTGTCCCAGGCTTGAATTTGGCTAGAATCTTTTCCAGTCTGCTTTACCTTTGTTAAAAAGTATTGTAAAAAAATATTTTTGTAAAATACACTCACAGTATGGCTATGAGTGTGAGTGTCTCTCTGCCTGTGTCTCTCTCTCAGGTTTCCGGCTCTTCCTCATTTCTCTCCGTTCCGGTCGTTGCCGCGGCTGTGTTCTCATCAGCATCATTTGCACACTATAAACGGGCTGGCCCCGCGCTCCGGCCTCTGCTGCTCCCGCTGCAGTCAGAAGAAGTGGCCTGAACTGCTGCTGCCCATCGATACGCACAAGAGCCCCACTAACCTGGTCAAGACGCCGGAGGTCACCATCCTGTCTGTAGGGAGGTAAGAAAAATGTAAAATAAAATATACAATTATGTGAATTCAGAGAAGAAAGGCCTTCATTTCAGCTCAAATGTGTTGTTTCAATCCATACATGAGAAATCTGTTTTAAGCTTGTTTTTTAAACTGGTGAACATTATTAGACAAAATAGATGTACTTCCCATATAGAGACCATCCAAACCATTTCCCAAAACATTAAGGTGCCTTGTTTTGCCCAATATTTTTAGGCAGTTTTGTATGTGTTATTATTGTCTTTTATTTTTTATGATAGTATTTATTAATATTTTAAATTACTTTCCAATTTCAATTAGCAAATTTTTTTATTAATTGTTGTGTTATATACATATATATAAAACTGAAAATATTCATCCAAGATAGTGGAGTGCACCAACAAAAAATAATGTAATGTGATAATATTAACAAAAAAATTGATGATCTAATTTAAGAAAAAACTATTTTTGTACTTAATTGGATATGTTAACTTCAATATATCAGTACACTAGTGTCAAGAGTTAAGAGTCTACTGGAATCTGTCAAGTCTCTCGAGCTCACTAGGTTTTGGAGCAGACCTGTAAATCCCAATGACTGAATGAATCAGGTGTGTTGGTTTGAGATGGTGATTCACGTCTCATTCTCACACACACACACACACACACACCTGGTTCTGCTCACAGTGACACATCAGGCCTGTAGTTTCACTCACTGACCTCTGTGTCACCTGCATGTGAACGGCAGGTTTCAAGTCGCTCAGATCCCAGAAGTCAAGTCAGCTTCCAAGGAAGTGACCCAGCCGGATCCGAGCGATACGGACTCCATGGACAGCAGCCACACCGAGCCTGCGGAAGAGCGTTCCCTGCTGGGCATGTCCTCTTCCTGTAACTCCGCCTCCTCAAAGTCCAGACAAGAGGTGAGTTTGTAAACAAGCGGAACAGGAATATTCCTCCAAGCACTCGGTTTGTAGTTTCTCTTCCTCATCTCTCCCTTTACTGCCTTGACCTGAAGCTCATTGTCTAAAGCCATGTGTAAAAACCCCTACAGGAAGTCTCACCAGTAAATGAATAGGAAACACTTCTTGAGTCATAGCTAGTTAGTCCAGATTAGTGAACATCCGGTGAAAAACACTGTAGACAATCTTTAAAAAATGCCTAATATTATCTAATTTAATGAAGCCAAGTTTAAAAATGGCAGTAACATTTTTCATCACATACAGTGTTTTTGCAAAATAAGAATAAATATATATCAGATTGAATGCAGCTGTCAGAGTCTTAGTTTTAAATGACAAAGTATTACAATTCAAAGTAAAGTATTCAAACTGTATCATTTAACTTAAAATATGCAAAGGAGTGTAAAGATATGTTCAGATACTCCCATATAATGTCAGATAACTTAATATAAACACGAGCTTATAAATAAATAAGCTATAACACCCACAGATGAGCAGAAAACATCTGGCTAGTGTTTGCATTTTCTTCTTTCGGTGTAATCTAAAATATTGTCTTCAGCATCATTCATACATGTGAATAGAACAAATATGAAATCTGGCTTAGATTCAGACAGGAATCATGTCTTTGTGGCAGTTTTTCTGCGATAATACTAGACACCTTAAAAATCATTGTCGAAAGCAAAAATGGTATGAAATGCACATATTTTGTGAGGAAGCGAGTAAGAAACAGGTATGGGATTTCATTCAGTGAATGTGATGCAGGGCTGTGTAATAATTGTAGAGGAGTTGCATCGAGGGAAGGTCGGTTTTTGTTACCTAACGTAACTGTTTACCCTCTTGCATAAGAATCTGCGGGACGGTGGGCTAATGGCTTCACATTGACTAGCAATAGCTCCTGGGATTTACAGAAATACCTCACGGCATTTATAAATGACACACAGAACAACACTAGAAAATAGCTTTTCTTTTTTAGAAAGTACAGTAAAAGCAGTAATACTGTGAAATATTATTATGATTTAAAATAACTGTTCTGTTTGAATATATTTTAACATGTAATTTATTCCTGTGTTGCTTCAGTGTCACATGGTCCTTCAGAAATCATTCTAATAAGCTGTTAATGTTTCAAGAAACATTTCTTATTATCAATGTTGAAAATATTTTTGTGGGAACAGTGACCGTTTTTGTTCGTAATACTTTGATAAAGTTCTAAAGAAGAGCATTTATTTGAAATAGAAGTTGTTTGTAACTTTGGAAATGTCTTTACTGTCATTTTTGATCAATTTAATGCACTTGTTGAATAAAATTAGTATTTTCTTATTTATTTTAACATTTTTAAAACACATCATGTGATCCATAGAGGGTTCATTGTGTTTGTTTGGTGCTACACTGACAAATGTGAGAATCTGTTTGGGTTTGCTGCTGTCCTCAACTCAAACTCTTTGTGTTTTTCCACTGGTTCAGTTCATACCGAGTCAAATCATATTGTCTGGCACCCTCTGGTGGCTGGAAAAGTTTTAGCATTTGTTAACCAACAAATGACTCGAGACATCCTTTAATTCATGTGACTAATCATTCTCTCTCCCAGATGAACATCTGAAAGGCTGAGGAGGAGGGCGTCCAGGACGGGACGGATGACATCATCAGGAGGCCAGCGAGCGAGCGATCGGGGCAGACGTGTGATGGTGACGTCAGTATTCACCACCTTGAGGAGCCTTGAATTCAAGACCTTAGGAAACATTCGTATTTATTGCATAAGTCCTAGAACTATTTTATTAAAAAACAATAAGCTCTGTCTCTGCTAGCAGATAATAGGAGAGCGAAGGGCATTTCCTCCGAAAGCATGTGTGCTTCCACAAGACACTAAAGAGGTCTTCAGTGCGGAAAACAGCACTCAGAACAACAAGACACCCGGTGAGACGTTCTCTCCCGTTAGAAAACATTACCAAGTATTATGAGAACTAGTTTGATTTGCATCTTTTTACTGTAGTTCTGTTTTTTAGTATTTAAGATTTTAAATGAATTGCATATGTACAGTCATGGTCAAAAGTTTGCAAACCTCTTGTTTTGTTAATAATAAATAAAAGAAAACCTACAAAAACACATTGTCAATTTCATATGCATATTATATATTCTATTGTTTTTATAAAAATTAGTATTCTCTGGTTTTTACACACAAAGGTACAGGATATACAAAACTATTTATTTAAGATGGTTTACACTAGTTCACCAACTAAAACCTTTAATACAGTGAATGTGCTTTTGAATGTCACATTTTGGACTTCAGTTTTGGAATAAATGCACTCATGTGACTAAATCAGAAATCATGAACAAAAGAGAACACAAGGAAACAAGAACCAAACACTGAAATAATCAAAGAAACTACAAGATAAGAACAGAAAACTAAACCAAACTTCAACATAGAAGTCAGAAACGGGAATATACATGACTAATGTACAGCAGCCCTAAACTTTCAATGTGTGAATGTCTTAATATTGGATTGCAGAGTCCAGCAATTTAACTATGAATATGACTTGAAAAGTGTGCTGAAGTTTTTTTATTCAAATAAGCTTGGTTTGATACTAATGCAATGACATTCAGACATTTTAAGTATGGTTCAATACTTTTTGGGACCACTATGTTTCATATTTTTTGGTTTGCATTTTTATTTCTTTAAGGATTAAAAAAACAGGCGGCTAGTTGTTCCACAATTTAAAAACTGCTTATGTAAATAGCACAGAAATAGTAGCAATATCACTTAAAAATGAGCATTTTCAAGTGTTCACAAGCTTTTGACCATGTCAGTGGGATGTAATATTTCATTTATTAATGAACAAACAAGCTCTTTTGCACCACAACCTTCAGCTTATCAGCTTTATTGAAAAAGGAAAACAAAGCAACACACTGTATTCATTTATATCTCTAGGAGATGCTTTCTTATCGAGGTGTCTTACAATACAGCATGCAAATCTTAGGACGGACTGATGAGAAAATCATGCTAGAAGCTAAACAAAAAAAAGGTTTATTGTTCCTTCTGAAAGTATTATCGTCTCAAGAACATCTGTAGTGCCTCAGACTAGCTGTCTGCTTCTTTGCTATGTAACACTAATGAAATATATTTAGTATTAGCACTAAACCTTATGCATTTCAGATTGCTGGCTTTATGGAACCGGTAGGATATTATTTCATTGTGCTGTTGTATTTCAGTGCAAGCTGGACCTGGTTTCTCTCTTGGTTCTTTTCAAACATTAGTCATCAGTGAAGTGGGCACTGGGCATTATTAATGACAAAAGACTGTGTTCATCAGTCTGGATGACGTTCACACTGCAGCTGAATGTGGATTCGATTTGAAAAACAACACTCAATCTGACATAAATGGAAATATGTTACGTATCAGATTTTTTTTGTGTGATTTCAGTGCGTACAGTTGTGGTTAGAATTTACGAGATTTTTAAATCAAACTTTCAGAATAACTGCACTCTAACTTCCTTTTGCATGAATTTAAAAATAATATATGAACTTTATCAAGTACTATTCACAAAGGTGCAAAAAATATATTTTTTAATATATAAATTGAAATTGACATATTTATGGCTTTATTTGCATACTCAGTTATAGCTAGAGACATAAATCGTTGTTATACCTTACTTTGCAAAGATCAACTAGGATGAAAAGGTAAGGGGAAACTCAGCACTGTATTGTTGTTGCTTTTATTTATTATTCTCATTAATAATGTTGTTTTTTCTTGAGATTTATACTCTTGAAATAAAGAACTTTACTGCAGTATCAGAGATGTGGAAATTCATCTTTACATCTCTTCATTTATATAGACTGATATTAAATGCATTGCATCTCCATGCTGTATATTTGTGATGATTTTTCTGGTAATATACCATTCAGAAGTTTGGGGTTGGTGATGTTTTTTTAATGTTTTTGAAAAAGAAAAAAAAATCTTCTGCTCACCAAGGCTGCATAAATTTGATCAAGAATTCAGTAAAACAATTCAAAATAACCATTTTCTGTGTGAATACACTGTAACGTATGCAAAGCATCATTTCTCCAGTCTTCAGTTTAACATGATTGTACAAAAATCATTCTAATATGCTGATTTGATTTGCTGCTTAAAGAAACGTTTCTTCTTCTTCTTCTTCTTTTTCTTCTTCTTGGTGTTGAAAACGTATGTGCCGCTTCATATTTCTGTGAAAACCGTGAGACATTTTTTTAAGGGTTCTTTGATAAATAGAAAGTTCATAAGAACAGCATTTATTTAAAATATATTTTGTAACACTACATTTAAAAGGTTATTACGGTCACTTTTGATTAATCAAATGCATCCTTGCTCAATTAAAGTATTAAATATTAAATAAAAAAAACTTACAGACCCCAAACTTCTTTGAACAGTGGTTTAAAACGTGCTTTTGCATTTTTAAGCATTAGCAATGGCTAAATGTATCAACCTAAACAAAACAGTATAAGCTATAGCATTTTCTGTATACTAGCACACTATTCTGATCTAACATGCTGTTGGACGGATTATATGCAATAACCTGATGATTACCAGGAAATTGTTACAGTAACACAGTAAACAGTAGGGCTTTTCACACTTTAAATAGTTAATTACGCCGCGGTCACACTAGACTTTGAGCATGCGAAATGTAGTCGTATAACGGATCATTCTGAGTCTGATGACTTGGAAACAGGGTTGCCAGGTCTGCGAAACAAAACCAGCCCAATTGACCGTTTGCAAAGAGCTTGACTGACAGGCGATCGGACCAATCATAACGCCAAATCCGCCATCTTGCCCGACTAACAAATCAGATGGAAGAGTAGATTAACTTTGGTGGACTTAAACTTGAAAAATTGATAATTGATATCATTCCGCGGTTGAAATAAAATACGTTATGATGTTCATTCATGTTTATTTCATGCTTTAAGTAAATATGAAAAGACGATCGGTTCATGTGTGCCAATACAGCGATCTGTCACGACACATTAAAGAGCCACAAAATGGTATTTATTGTTTGAATTTCTTTAAAAAAAAGATAATATTTTAAAGCCGAGACCTTGTTTCATACCAGAAGTAACCTGCTCTGTCTTGTCTGTCGGCTTGTTGTCAGTTTCCTCTTTGCTCCGTATTTTTTTACTGTGTGAGAACGTGATGTGTAATGTGAGAGAGGCATGGCTTGTCGGACATAGCAACAGTAACTAAGTAGGGCAGGTTTTTGCTAAGGGTCAATTGCTATTCAAAAGTAGCCCAATTGTAGTCTCAGCCTCAGAAGTCATGCCCACAGACCGTTGGCAGAACGTCTGATGCAGATATCGCACACTAAATTGGAACTGTGACGATGAGCACGTATCAGAATCATCTAAACGCTGGATTTTCAAAAGTATATGAAATATTTCAAGTTCGCGGCACAGAATCTTTAAAATATGTCCAAGAGTTTTACACACCGGTCTGTTATTGTGGGGACATTCAACACTGTTAACCACAATATCAAAAGGAAAACAAAATGTATTACTGATCACTTAATCATGATTTCATTAGTGCCATATGCTCTTAGCATTTATGCTAGCAAGTGGAGTTTTTGGCAAAAAAAAAAAATGTGTCAATTCTCTTACCGTCAAACTCTGTTGCCAAGATAGAGTAACAATGCAGACAATAGTGCAACAGAATTGAAAGTCCACCGGATAATTGTCAATTCTGTTACTTAAAGGGTCAACACTGTTTATGAACTATTTTCACAAAAAAACAATATTTGTTGTTTAAAATTGTTTAACAATTGTTGTTTAAAATCTCATAAACATTATTGAGATATTATGCAACCTTATAATATTTCAAAAACATTTTTTATTGGATATTGTATATAAAATATTTTCAGATGAAAAATATTTGCTCCAAGTGGACAATTCTTTGAAGGCATAGGCATTTTTTTTTATGGTGTGCAGGTGAAATATTATCTCAGTTCCAAATGTTGAAATGTAAGGACTGTTGGATTTTTCCTTTTATGATTTATTGTTATTTCTACACATTGCCTAATTTGTCCGTAACAGAGTTGACAAACAATTTATGCTTGATTTCTTGTTGATGCTGTTTCTGAAGCTCTGTCCTGCCATGAAGTAGAGGATGGGGTCGATGCAGCTGTTGAGACTGACCAGAGTTCGCGTGACTTTGTAGATGTTGTTGGAGAGTCGTATTATGTCGCAGTTGTGTTTGTCCAGGTAACGGAAGGGGTAGTATATACTGCGGCTCACATGGAAAGGCAAGAAGCACAACATGAAAGTCAGAATCACAATTATGATCATCTTCACCGACTTCTTTTTTGAGTGCTGTGACATTGGTTCTCTGAGATCGCCGGGATCAAGAAGTTTCTTCACCATCAGGCCGTTGCAGACCAGCACCACTCCAAACGGTATGACAAAAAGCAGAAACATCACCACCGAGCTGTAGACCAGAAAGTCATCGAAGAGATCCTGGATGGTGGTGTCATGACAGACCCGATCTTCACCATTAAGTCTAATCCTGGAGAAATAAAGAGTCGGGGCCTGTAAGATGAGAATGATCACCCATATTCCCACAGAAACCAAACGAGCGCGACGGCCGTTCATCCAGTACAAAGAGCGCATCGGGTGGCAGATGCCTAAATACCGGTGCAGACTGATGCAGCTGAGGAAGAGGATGCTCCCGTAGAGGTTTGTGTAGAAGAGAAAGCGAATCAGCTTACACATCAGCTCACCGAACGGCCAGTCGTTCTTATCAGCGTAATAGTAGATGAGGAACGGCAGAGTGAGGATGTAAAGCGTGTCGCAGACGTTGAGGTTGATCATGTAGATGGTGCTGGGCTTCCAGTGTTTGGTTCGGAACAGGATGACGTACATGGCCGTGATGTTCAACCCCAGACCGAACACAAACACCAGAGAGTAACTCACCGGGAGGAGAATGTACTTGAAGTGTTCTTTTAACTCACAATGGTACCGACTATTATTAGTTCCTGTATCGTTATCCATTGCCGTTCTGATCCAGATCTGTCAGAGAATAAGACAATTAAATCATATCTTAAATTTACAAAGCGATATTAATGTACTTTCATTATACCTGCAAATACAGATAACAAAGCAATATCAACTAATCTTCAACACATATTCTCTATGTAACAGGGTTAAAAATGTTACTTTAAATGTTATAACATTCACCAAAATTACTGTGTTTTTGTTCATTTAATAATTGTTTAGAGACCTCTTGTGGTGAAATTAAGTATTTGGGGTAATTTGCCTTGCCTGTGAAACCACCCCCCCCAGTCCCCCACCCCCAGCAGAGAAGTTTATCTGATGCTGAGAGGTGCTAGGTGAAATGTGCTCCCGCAAAATGAGTTTTCTTTGTAACTTGACACTTGTTGATTTCACAAATAATATTAAGATAAACGGTTAATGATGTTGTGTAACAAGATGTTAAGTGACTGTGATTGTATTTGATTAACTTTGTGGAGTTTGGATGCAATTTGTTCAACGTGCGTTGCATGGCTGACGCCATTTCTTTGAATCAAACACAGGTTTATCTCTCATTTCTGTTTGCTCTTTTAGATGAATGCACATGTGTATAAATGCCCACTGTCGCCAGAGGATGTACAGTGGGTACGGAAAGTATTCAGACCCCCTTAAAGTTTTCACTCTTTGTTATATTGCAGCCATTTGCTAAAATCATTGAAGTTAATTTTTTTTCCTCATTAATGTACACACAGCACCCCATATTGACAGAAAAACACAGAATTGTTGACATTTTTGCACATTTATTTACCTGGATTTGGGGATCCTCTGCCATTCCTCCTTGCAGATCCTCTCCAGTTCTGTCAGGTTGGATGGTAAACGTTGGTGGACAGCCATTTTTAGGTCTCTCCAGAGATGCTCAATTGGGTTTAAGTCAGGGCTCTGGCTGGGCCATTCAAGAACAGTCACAGAGTTGTTGAAAAGCCTCTCCTTCGTTATTTTAGCTGTGTGCGTAGGGTCATTGTCTTGTTGGAAGGTAAACCTTCGGCCCAATCTGAGGTCCTGAGCTCTCTGGAGAAGGTTTTCGTCCAGGATATCCCTGTACTTGACCGCATTCATCTTTCCCTCGATTGCAACCAGTCATCCTGTCCCTGCAGCTGAAAAACACCCCCACAGCATGATGCTGCCACCACCATGCTTCACTGTTGGGACTGTATTGGACAGGTGATGAGCAGTGCCTGGTTTTCTCCACACATACCGCTTAGAATTAAGGCCAAAAAGTTATATCTTGGTCTCATCAGACCAGAGAATCTTATTCAGGTGTTTTTTAGCAAACTCCATGCAGGCTTTCATGTGTCTTGCACTGAGGAGAGGCTTCCGTCGGGCCACTCTGCCATAAAGCCCCGACTGGTGGAGGGCTGCAGTGATGGTTGACTTTCTACAACTTTCTCCCATCTCCCGACTGCATCTCTGGAGCTCAGCCACAGTGATCTTTGGGTTCTTCTTTACCTCTCTCACCAAGGCTCTTCGCCCCCGATAGCTCAGTTTGGCCGGACAGCCAGCTCTAGGAAGGGTTCTGGTCATCCCAAACATCTTCCATTTAAGGAATGGAGGCCACTGTGCTCTTGGGAACCTTAAGTGCAGCAGAAATTTTTTTGTAACCTTGGCCAGATCTGTGCCTTGCCACAATTCTGTCTCTGAGCTCTTCAGGCAGTTCCTTTGACCTCATAATTCTCATTTGCTCTGACATGCACTGTGAGCAGTAAGGTCTTATATAGACAGGTGTGTGGCTTTCCAAATCAAGTCCAATCAGTATAATCAAACACAGCTAGACTCAAATGAAGGTGTAGAACCATCTCAAGGATGATCAGAAGAAATAGACAGCACCTGAGTTAAATATATGAGCGTCACAGCAAAGGGTCTGAATACTTAGGACCATGTGATATTTCAGTTTTTCTTAGAGTAACTTACCGGGAGGAGAATGTACTTGAAGTGTTCTTTTAACTCACAATGGTACCGACTATTATTAGTTCCTGTATCGTTATCCATTGCCGTTCTGATCCAGATCTGTCAGAGAATAAGACAATTAAATCATATCTTAAATTTACAAAGCGATATTAATGTACTTTCATTATACCTGCAAATACAGATAACAAAGCAATATCAACTAATCTTCAACACATATTCTCTATGTAACAGGGTTAAAAATGTTACTTTAAATGTTATAACATTCACCAAAATTACTGTGTTTTTGTTCATTTAATAATTGTTTAGAGACCTCTTGTGGTGATATTAAGTATTTGGGGTAATTTGCCTTGCCTGTGAAACCACCCCCCCCAGTATATATATATATATATATATATTGAAGTCTCGAAATTTTTCAATGGTGAAATTAACAGAGAAATTAAAATGCATAGATTTAGGACCAGATATCGCAAGAAAAATGATCTGTCAATGGGATAAGAATTTTTCTCTCATTAAATCAGATTTATATTTCTTTCCACACTGACAGATATTTGTTCTGTTCTTGTCAAGTCTTTCTGCTTCTCAATTAAATGTATCTTGATTTAAGAAAGTTTAGATAGTACGAAAATAATTTTTTCAGTGTCTGTCCAACCTGAAAAAAATAAAACACATTTAAGCATAAAATTGTAGTTGTTGAGTTTGGCTTGCAGTGTGAACGCTCCTGACGCACATGTTGGTGTCATGCATCTTCCTCTTACAGGATATAGCTGAGTGTTCATCAGTCCTCAGAGAAACAAGTAGAGCTGTTGCATTTATAGCTGAATGAGTCGATGCATGTGGTGCAGTACAGCTTGTGCAAAACCTCAAATAATGAAATGATACTGAATGGTTACGGTCCTCAGCTCAGCTCAGAGTTTCACCTTGATTGTGAAATTCGTGTCTTCATGAAAGTTTCGTCACAACCTACTGAGGTAATTGAAAAATGTATATTATGAAATATTACTCGGTTTCATCATTTCCTTCTTCCATTGTATTTATTTGTAGTTCAGAAGAAGTAGTCAAGGCAAGCTACAGGCAAGGCTACTCAAGGGTAGCTTCACAGTTTTGTTACATTTACATGCACATTTTATATAAAGTCAATTTTTATACAATACACACGTGTTTGTTTGCATACTCAGTTATAGCTAGAGACATAAATCGTTGTTATACCTTACTTTGCAAAGATCAACTAGGATGAAAAGGTAAGGGGAAACTCAGCACTGTATTGTTGTTGCTTTTATTTATTATTCTCATTAATAATGTTGTTTTTTCTTGAGATTTATACTCTTGAAATAAAGAACTTTACTGCAGTATCAGAGATGTGGAAATTCATCTTTACATCTCTTCATTTATATAGACTGATATTAAATGCATTGCATCTCCATGCTGTATATCTGTGATGATTTTTCTGGTAATATACCATTCAGAAGTTTGGGGTTGGTGAGATTTTTTAAATGTTTTTGAAAAAGAAAAAAAAATCTTCTGCGATGAGAATGATCACCCATATTCCAACAGAAACCAAACGAGCGCGACGACCGTTCATCCAGTACAAAGAGCGCATCGGGTGGCAGATGCCTAAATACCGGTGCAGACTGATGCAGCTGAGGAAGAGGATGCTCCCGTAGAGGTTTGTGTAGAAGAGAAAGCGAATCAGCTTACACATCAGCTCACCGAACGGCCAGTCGTTCTTATCAGCGTAATAGTAGATGAGGAACGGCAGAGTGAGGATGTAAAGCGTGTCGCAGACGTTGAGGTTGATCATGTAGATGGTGCTGGGCTTCCAGTGTTTGGTTCGGAACAGGATGACGTACATGGCCGTGATGTTCAACCCCAGACCGAACACAAACACCAGAGAGTAACTCACCGGGAGGAGAATGTACTTGAAGTGTTCTTTTAACTCACAATGGTACTCACTACTATCATTAGTTCCTGTATCGTTATGCATTGCCATTCTGATCCAGATCTGTCAGAGAATAAGACAATAAAATCATATCTTAAATTTACAAAGCGATATTAATGTACTTTCATTATACCTGCAAATACAGATAACAAAGCAATATCAACTAATCTTCAACACATATTCTCTATGTAACAGGGTTAAAAATGTTACTTTAAATGTTATAACATTCACCAAAATTACTGTGTTTTTGTTCATTTAATAATTGTTTAGAGACCTCTTGTGGTGATATTAAGTATTTGGGGTAATTTGCCTTGCCTGTGAAACCACACCCCCACCCCTATGGGCTTACATTTCTGCCATAATTCTGCGCGCGAAAGATCATATTTTGAGCGCACAAAAGTGCATTTTGCACACGCGCGATCTGAGTTTGTGGAGAAAATGTTCGTTTTGCAAAGAAAAAAAGTCTTTCGAGCGCACGGAAATCAATTTTGCATTTGAAATACGTTTTTGGATGTGTGCAGACCTTCTCTTTTGCGCGTGCAACGTTTCACTAGCTTGCTCACCTGATGCCCCCCTCAGTGCTCGCTAAATGCCAACAGCTCGCGTGCTCAACACAACCCAGCGTTACAATGTGCGCTACTTAATAAGAATCACATACTGGAGTGTAGTAAAATACTTGTTACATATATATATGTGTGTGCTTTATAGGCAGATAAGTTGAGAAGGACCAGCACCACATCCTCTTGTATCACTGTTTGAAGAATTTATCTTCCAGAATCTGGCCATAAGAGCCAGCTTGAGATCGGCGCAGCTGGAGGGCTTGCGGCAACCACATGTGACGACCCCGGGCTGGACTCCGCTTCGTCCACGGTGAAAGTTGATCCGGCGATCCACAGCGCGAAGTTGATTTTCTCAGCGACCAGCACAGATCAGCTCCAGGCATGACGAAGCAGATATCGTCCTCTTTTGGAAGACCAAACAAAGTAGTTTCGCTTTCACAACGAAACACAGCGCCTTCACGACATGGCGGCAGCAACAATACTACAGCGAGAATAAAAGTTACGCCTTCTTTCGTTGCGTGAACATTTGGGCGGCGTTATGCAAATCTTCCCACATCGTGACGTAGATATGTGGGGGCGTGTTAGAACGAGCCGTTTTAGGTAGGCGTGGCTGACTCTTAACTTTTATGAAGAATATCTCTTTGGATTTGAGACTTTAGTCTTTGCAACTTTACAGATCTTCTTTATGCACCAAGAGCTTGTAACACTCCAAAGAGAAAGGAAAAATCGCATCATATGACCCCTTTAAGTAAAAAACATTTTAATGATGTATTTTGTATAACAAACATGCAGCTTTTCATTTCATAAGATGTTAACTGATGGACTGAAGTGGTTTGGATTATTTGTGGTTTATTGTGATGTTTTTATCAGCTGTTTGGACTCTCATTCTGACGGCACCCATTCACTGCAGAGGATCCATTGGTGAGCACGTGATGCAATGCTACATTTCTCCAAATCTGTTCCCATGAAGAAACAAACTAATCTACATATTGGGTGAGTACACTTGGCTGAACTATTCCTTTAATTGTAAGGAAGCAAATAAAAATATAAATATATTGATAATCTGTTTTTGTAACATCATTCCAAGCATTTCATTGCTTCCCAAGCCTGGTCTTGCATAGTGAGATAGATCTTGATCCAGCTTGAACAACTGGATGTCATTTTGCAATAGTTAAATGGAACAAGTGTTCATTGTGGCGTCTGTCTGGGCTCCTATACATACACCACACATGTACATCTCTAAGAGGTGGTAAATGTCCACAAACTGCACACACCCATATTAATACTGTTGTGCATATGACATCCTATACAAATATTCCCGGAACATCGTTCTTAACAGAGTGTTGAAGTAATTTCAAATGGTTTCTTCCAAACTCAGGGGACGAACAGATGAGCTTATGAAGAAGTACAGATGTTTTTTTCTGCTAATCACACAGCTTAACAGCACTCTCATTTATGCCAGAGAATAGTGCATCATATCAATCAATGAAGCAAATCAACCACAGAGTATCTCGAAAACCTCCTGAGAATTTCCTAAGAACTTTCTCAGATAATGTTTCAATGATGGCTAATTTCACAAAAAGCCTCCAGGCACTTCCCACACTTTAACCTTTAAAAATAAAGAAATATTTTTCACTACAAATTATATATTATCAAATGCTGCCATAACCAAAACCTGATTGTGTTATTCAGCATGATTTTAGAATCTAGGAATCTTAAAGCAAATCTTTTTAGAATTCAGAATTTCATAAACTGCATACTTTTTAAAGTTTTAACCTATTTCGGAACCTTACAGTTTTGACTTTTGTCTAATGTTACAGTGTTTTTAGGATGAATCGTTGGTGTCGTAACATTCATTATTTAGATGTCACGTTGGAGAGAGACCTCTTCTAAATCAGTGGTTCCCAATCCTGGTCCTGGAGGCACCCTAACACTGCATGTTTTGCATGTGTCCTTAATCAAACGCACCTGATTCAAATCATCAGCTCATTCATAGAGACTTCAAGACCTGAAATTGGTGTGTCAGAGAAAGGAGACATGCAAAATGTGTAGTGTTGGGGTGCCTCCAGGACCAGGATTGGGAACCACTGTTCTAAATGTAAAAATATTTATTCCACAGACTAACACATCTTGATAGTTTCATCTATCACAGTGAAGTCCAAACATTGCATATTTTTGTAAGTTACACATTCAGTTGATAGACATGATTGTCAATATGCAAAAGAAAAGCAAAGAACAAAGTACGTCACATACTCACATGTTTTCAGCAGATTTTTTCAGGAATGTCCCCTCAAGCTCTTCAAACCTGCACAGTTCTGCTGTTCCTCTGCCTGTTCATGCTGGGTTTCTTCATTGTGGGCGGGACTACTCGTGTCAACACGCCTCAAGCCTGCTCGCATTGGTCAGTGCATCAGTCAATGGCCTATCAATTTTTTTCAAGAAGTTCCACTAGAGGTAAACAGGTTTCCAAAAACGCTTCTGGTTGAGCTGGTTGAGCTATTGGTTTGTCAGAGCAATAACTCAAAACAGCCTGTGTATGGAATGTACTGCCAGCTATTTTAATAAACAATACGTAAACAGATTGTATTATGAACAGTGACGGTGGCACATCTGATTGGGTATCCTGGATGCTACCTCAAAATTTTATTTGCTGCTGGTCTGCTGGTTTGATGATGGACCAGTTTTACAGACTGTGATGACGCGTTTTAGCAGTCATCAGCATCACAAAGTTTTTAATATATTCATTTTTTTAAATTGTATGTACAATGTACATTTCTAACACTTTATACCAAAGCTAGGTATCGCTGCTGTGAGGGTGTTTCTAATACAGCGAGTTTTGGAGTGAAGGTAAATTTGACATTGCTCAAAAATTGACATTGGGACTGCCATTATCAGTTCCACTCTAGTTCCCCCCCCCCCCCCCCCCCGCCCCCCACGCCCCTCCCTCCCCACAG